GACAGATATGACATCCTATGTGACACATAATTTTATGTACTTGAGCAGAGAACGAATAGAAACCTACTGAACCAAAGCTTTTATCCATTGTGTCATCAGTATTCTCTTATTATGTACATTTTCCTGGATTTGTGTGCGTTTTTGCGTTACAACGCAGGACATTCACCTGTGATCTGTACATATGCAAAATAAGAACGAACAATTTGGAAACTGTTACCCACACATTGTCGGATAACTTCAAAGTTAAGGAATTGCTGTAGTGTGCCATGGTTGGTTAGTACTCTACCTTTGCATTTGTGTTTCATTTTAAAATATTAATTCAATGATAAGTAAGTATAATTCAGTGCTTGTGTCTTGCTGATTCAGTTAATAGGCCAAAATACTCAAGTTATTGTTTGCATTGTACATGAAGTTTACTAAATATGCATGTAGGAAATTCGTTGAAGATAAGCCTACGCAAACACAATGATTTATATTGAAGGCGTATAGGCTAATATAAAAAGTAAGAAATGTTATTGTTTTAGTGCGAATAACTGATCTTCTAGCTAGTCACTTTGTAAAGCATATGAACATCCTCGTTGCAGTTTCTGTACTCGACATAAATACATGCATGAAGGAGAGGTCGTAACATTATGCACGCCCGTGGCGAACTTTAAAAGTATCCATAAATGCATTTATTATTTCAGAAAATATTAAGATGTATTCCTCTGTTATTCTGCAATATATTAGCTGACTTCCGAAACTTCTAACGTCAGTAAATTTCTTCAGTATTTCTAAACTTTTGACTAATTTTCAACCACTAGATGAAGTGAAATCTTTGATATTTCGCAAAACGTTGGAACATTTTCAAGACACCCAATGAAAGTGTATTTTGTCGTCGTCTTCCAGAAATCTAAGCTGATAACAGCAGCCTGTGTGTAACCGCTAAGTGACACTTACTGAGCAGAATGATGGCGATGACGGAGCACAGCTCGACGACCACGGCTCTCTGTCCCATAATGACGGCGCGCCGTACATTGCACGAGCTGCGAGTCCGCGAAGCCTACTTATTCATGTCAATGGCACATGTGACGTCATCAAGCTGCTATAGTACTTTACGCTTAACCTAACTCTCATGGTTATCCCCCCTCTTATCGATCCCGTACTGACTATCGTATGTTTTTTTGTCAGTGAAGTTCAACATTTGTTTTATGTTTGTTGCCTGTGTCCAGCAAGTGGTTCCTGACGTCACAGCATGGTGCCATCATGTTGCAGATGTCGGAGAAAAATTAAAAAGTTGTATGATTCGAAATTATAGGTCTGTTTTGTATTTGTATGACTCCGTGTTCGCGAGGGATGCGTTATCTTGAGTTTTTCGTAGATCGTATTCTGAGTTCTCAGGTCACGATAATTTCCCACTCTCATTCCTGATTAGCAATCAAATTCGCCCTATATAACGTTAGTACTAGATGCAGCGTAGTGAAAGTAACTGAATAATCAACGAAATGTGAGTGCAAATCCCGCCAACCTGTCCGGTACAAATCGGCTGATTTAATTCATATTTAACTGCTGATAATGATTTTTGAGTGGGAAACACGTGGAAATGGCATTTATTTGTAGTTAAATGTATGTTGTATGGAGTTATCGATTGCTCCAACAAAAAGGGCAAGGGCACGCGGCCTACGAGGCATTTTTTATGATTTGTGGACAGGAGTGAAAACCCCATTTATGATTATATATATATTTACGTCTACGTCTTGCAAGTGATCTCTTAGTTTCAGGCTTTCCGACTAAAATTTTGTATGCATTTCCCTCGTCGTTTTCGTGGTTTACATGTAGTTAATGCACAGATTTCTCTTCAATGTATGGTTTTGCATAAAAATTGTATGTGGCAGGAAACAAAAAACACCCGAGAAATGTTGTGAGGAAGTCTGGTGCGAGGACTTCGTAAGTCTTTGAGAATCGCTGTCATGTTCAGAGATTAGTTAACTTAAACTGTTAAACGTAATCTGGGTGGTAGATCTTTAGGAAAGAATATATTTTGAATACAGACGTGCTGATAATATGGAACATCGGTATAGATGTAATGTGAATTGGATAAAGCTGAACCATGCCTAGAGGTTATAACCTCCAAGAATCTTCTTACACAATACAAACTTAATACGACAAATAACGAGGCCACGCCTTCTCTACTGCCATCATTACAACCATAACATACGTGGAACTGCGCAGTATTTACTCAAACTAATGAGTGATGTAGTAATAGCAAGGTCACTTATGATGTCAGTCTATCAAAAAAATTGAATTACTTCCTGATATAACAAAAACATGAAGAGGAACTCCACAAGGGTTCTTTCTGTAAGAGACAATGACACTTTTTACACATTTAGTTTATTGTGGTAACCTACATTGAAACTTTAATGCTTAATGATACGGTTCAGAGGTTCATTCTTGACACGTTCTTTTGTCGTGTCGCTGATGGAGACAAAAGAAATGCCAATAACAAGGTTAACAGAGTGCATAGCGTTACGCAGTTAGGCCCGTTCCATGTGCTTGTGTTTATAATGTCCACTCCAGTATGTGATGTTCACTGTCTCTGGGGAAATGCAAACGAAGTTCGCTGTTTAGGGTTTCTAAACGTTGATTAATTATGATCTGAGGTAATTTGACATAGGGTCTACTGGAAGTTTAGGATGTTCGATCTGCTCCCTCCTTCATGTGATTGGTTGTCATTATACTGTCAGTCTGTTTATTTATTTATTTTATTTTAAGATGAGTAGAAACTGTTGGGATCGAATCCTGGTTTGGGCAGCAACATGCAGCAGGCTTTCAGTAACGAAGTCCCATTCGATTAAAATATTGAAGATTGTGCTGATAATGTGACTGAGATAGGCGAATTTGTTTACTCTTTTCAGGCTGCTTAATGAATAAATTCTAAGTGAAGACCACAGCTCGTGAATTTATGCGTTGTTTTTTCTATTTCTTACTGTTACGTTTTTTTTTATTTCCATCTATTTTCCAGGGTGCGCGAATAAGAAATTTTGATAACAAGAATGACGATGGAATGATGTTCTCTTGTCACGTTCATCCACTTATAGTAATTTATTGTTTGTAAAAATTAGGCTTATACTGAAGTAGTATAATGTCTGTGAATTGTTAATACACGTGTTTTTAATGTTAGTCATTTAAGCAATTGTTGATACAGACTAGTATAAACGTAAGTACTGGAAGTAATTTTATTAGCGTCTTAGTCGATCTGGCCACTGGGTTTCTTTCCATGAAGTTTGTTATTTTCGAGTAAGAAGTCGCCTAATGCAAACAAGATTAATTTTGAGGATGCGTTACGTAGGCCTTATGAGTAAATTATAAATAATGTATGTGTCTAGAGCATTATACGGAATGAACTAAACGTTGACTTTATATTCGAAATCACTGGGTCTTCTTAACCCTTTAGAGCCCAATGGTCCCACCTGCTTCAGCAACTAGCAACTCTTTGTATTGTATTCATGGGTTTCTTATGATTCGCACTGTAAACAGTCTTAACCAATTGATCTTGAAACGGTGTTTTCTTTGCAGTACAGACAGAATTGTTAAATATTATTTAGGCGAGAGTCAGCGTCATAGGGTTAAAGCAGCCTGCCTTTCCATCTGTTGCCCATCAGTTTCTGATGCTTAAATTATTGCCACTACTGATGTCCTTTTCCGGTTTGGAGAAACGTGTTTGTTTCTTTGTGCAACTTGTCACTGTATTGACTTTAACCTCCGAAAATTGTTTTGTGTCAGTCAAATTATCTACAAATGCCGTAACTAATCGTTCAGCCATTTCCATTATCCTTGAAATGCTTATTATGTATTGTGATTTTGAATTTTAGTGGGAATTATAACAGAGGAATGACCCATAACTATTCAGTGGTCGTAGAATGAAGTGGTATAAATTAATGAGTCACCAATTAAAATTCCTCTTGTTCGTAGTAGCCTCTTTTGGACCCATGCAGTCAGAAACAAGTAAACTACAATTTTTATGCAGTGCTGATTTCCTGAACGGCAATGTCATACAATTGGTAATGTTTAAATACCGGTTTTCTTTCTTCTTCTTCTTCCATGTTGTGGCGCATTCTTGTGACGGAAATTAACGATAAAAATACTGCTGTAGAGAACTCTACTTGGACATAGATGTTGGTGTTTCGGGTTACTGCGTCTTGTAGTATTTTGGTTGCATGCCATCGTCTTGGACGGACATACTGCCTCCATCTTCAGGGCTTGAGGATGATCAACTGCAGGAGGATGAGATCGGAGGGTCGTGTAGCGCATGCGGGGGTGATTATTGCACACACAATTTTGGTTGGGAAGCTTGGCGGAAAGAGACCACTCTGATCACGTCGGCGTAGGTGGGAGGATAATATTAAAACTGGTCACTGGGAAATGGGTAGAAGGGTGTGCATTTGTTTCAAATGGCTCAGGGTAGGGACCGGTGCTGGCTGTCGTCATCAGGAAATGAACCTTATGGTTCCATAAAATACGGGGAATTTCTTGGCTGCCTGGCGATTAGCTTATCAAGAATTGCTGCGCTACGTGGAGTTAGTTAGTAGAAGCAGCCGGTTTTATTTAACCAGAGGGCATTTCCGAAATCAAGTATTTGTTGTATAGTGTACCGTAAGAGTTACATTAAACGCCGTTCAGAGTCGTAACTTGGTTTGAATATTAACCAGTGCTGGCATCTGAATTGTTAATAACACCTAGGTCTTAAATATTAGGCAGTTACGGTCACAAAAGCGTAACAAGCGACTTCATGAGATTGTTCTGATGACGATAATGTTTATAGATAGACCTGTTCTTCGACAGATACTTCTTAAAGTTGCGGAGAAATGGTTAGCACTCCTGCTTTTATTTTGGGGTCCAGGGAGGGTTCCATCTGAAATGTTGGACTTTTTCATAGTCTTTTCGGGCAAAAGCTGGAATATATCCTTAAAATCCGCGACATGTACTATATTTTCTTTCGAATTCATTGTTAATTATCATGCTTCTGTTTGGCACTACATAACGGCATTGTCGTTACAACTATATGCAGAAGTATTTTTTCATCTAGTTGTAACCTTCACTGGGGTCATTATCTGCTGTAGTCATTATCTTCATATATTTTTGGAATTAGTGACCGCCAAACACTGAAGCCGACTGCACGAAAGCGCGCTCATGTGTATGAAACGCGCCTTTTTGAGACACGCTGTGCATTAGGACAACATTGACTAGGTGACTGTCGAACTTCTTGGCATTCAATAACCCACAGCAATTAAAATGCGATTTTGCAATTTTAATAACACATTGTCCAAGTCTTCGGCCGTTTAACGTTCCCGTGTGTAGTTATGGATCTGAGCCGGCGATAAGAAATGGTCCCCGTCACTACTCGGGTCTGAGATGGTTCAGCTGTTTAAACAAATGAAGAAATTTCCCATGAGAAAAGATAATACTGCTTTAGCTGTCTAAGCCCCTTGCTAAGAATGTGGCGCCTTGAAAGTCCGAATAGTTTCTGAAGCGTTCGTCTCACACTGGTCGGTGTTTGTCGAGGATTCCCCTCGGCATCGTGTGAATTGCCGTGTCACTTCTCCAGGAAGTCGTCGTGGGGTCATGGCAATAGACGTACTTTTAAGTGCGCGCGTCCGAATGATGAAATCTCGATTATGCTGTTTACTTTAAGACAGGGTTATCAAACCTGTAACAAGGATCAAAAATGTCCATAGATATAAGCGGATCGGTTACCTTTTCTTCTTGTTTTCTGGAAGAAAATCTTAAAATGTAGTCGACACTTCGTTACGAATCAAAGTAAGGTCCCTTTCTGTTACCTTCCATTTATTTTCAGTAGTATTGAGTCGTAGTGATGCTGATCGTCAGTATATTTTATGTTATTCTAGAAATATTTTTCATTTCTAGACATGGCACTGTTGAAGTTGGTTGCCAGATAATAGAGAATGTCCAAAGTAAGCCGCTGCCGCAAGAAGTTAGATGTGAAATTGTTTCTGTACATAATTAAGCGCTTGGAGTTATTGTGGTCAGCAGGTAGAACGGTGACGTTGCATTTGTGATAAATTCGTTTTGTCAGCAAAATACGAACCACAGAGTCGCAGCATGCATTGCGAGGGAATATTTGCCTCAGAATTTTAAACATTGATTACTTGACTTGCAACAGTGAGACCAAGTGAAAGCTTTCCCCACCTCCCGTAGTCGTTAATGTGTGAAGTAATGTAATGAAAGATAAGATAACCTATATTTTCATGAAGCTCCTGTCGTCATTTAAGTCCATATAAAGGAAGTTAATAATCCTAACTGCATGGAACAGATTTCTCGAGATTCTGATGGCCCCTCAACTATTCAAGAAAATCCACTTGTTTTGTGGAACTCGAGGGTTCGTAACCATGTTCACAGAATTCGCCATTTCTTGCTATCATGTAATATGTTTATCTAAGTTACAGTTAATGGAAAAGTAACTCTTGGGGTAATGCAAACAAATTTGTATAATGTAAGAATTGAAGCAATTTCACATTCTCCTAGAATAAATATTTGATCATCCATCTGCGTCAGAATGCCTGCTATCACTCTACAAGTTTGACGTGGATTAGTGTGTGAGTTTGAGATAATGAATCGCTTGCTTCAGTTGGACACATGCTTCTTGTATCTACGAGTACATCTGTAGCATTTATCTTCGTCTAAGCAGATGTGCTCTGCTATTAACATTTTAACTACGTGATCTGTTACATGTGACATTGATGTCTTCATGTTTATTATTCATCTACAATGTCTGCCATCAGAAAGAAAGGGACTTCCCTTCACAGTATTTCGCCATTCTTGGCGTTTTATTGGTTGCTTGTTAACATACAGGTTTTTTACTTCTGGACCTTGACTTCCTTTGCAGACACAAGGATCCAACAGCTTCTATTTTCTTGTGGTCAGTAACATCAGTCGTCAGTAGAATTACTCAGCAGTTATGACCTAACGCAAGGCATCACTGCCTTTTATCTCTTCGGGCGCTGTTGTAAATGTTTGTTATTGAAGACTACGGTTAACATATGCATGAAGTGTTAGCTAATGTTTTTCTAACTTTTAAGTTATTATTCCCGTGGGCATAGAAAGGGGATTTCCTTAACCCGCACTGTCTGATGTACTGAGACGTACTTTTGTACGAAAACCATAATTTGTGCATTGATGTCTGTCTGTCCGTTCGCATGTCATCTTTGAATCCACAGACTTGTTGGTGCGGGAATTTACTGTAGAAACCCTCACAGTGAACGTCGTAAGTAGGCTGTTCATTTGCTTTTGTTTTCATACACTCCCATTCAGTTCAGACTCGTTTGGCTTCCCGTCTCTTATCTGAAAACGTAAAGATTAAAACGTACGAAGGTAAAATTTTACTTCTTTTTTACGGGTGCTTGACGTAATGACGTAATAAAGTTTCATGGATATATAATCAGGTTCAGGGGCCCCAGATCCGGTCTGCAATCAGGCTGGGGGAGGACTTCATTGCCTCCATCGGGGTTCGAACCTCGATCGTCCAGTCCGCATAATCAGTCACTACGCCGGCTGAGCTACTTCTCATCGACTCGTATGAAAGCTACGTGTTTCGGAAATTGTTAAATGTATGTGATTCTTAGCTAATTTTGGATGATTTAAAAATTAAAAACTTTCAAAATTTAAAATTCACAATATCGATATTGTCTCACTGGTCAGTCAGGACTTTTGTTTCATGATGTATGCATTTTACTAAAATTATCGACCGATGGCGTTGATATAGCGGTAATGCATTTGGGAGACATAATCACAGCAGTCTTTGCTGCGTAGCAAGGAACCAGTTAAGCAACAAATAAAGTAACATATTCTGTGCTTACAATGCCATTTCATGTGATCCTGCATGGCTACTGCAGTTGAAGGATCTTTATAGAGACCAGGTGAAGAACATGCTCTTTGGTAGATACTGCTTTCGGGTTAACAGGAATGTGTGTTCATAATATTTCGACAACTTCTTGAGGGGGGGTCAACGGAAATGTGCGCCTGTATTCATGTTACTGTCGTAATAAATAAGCAATTTCATTATTTCTGTTCAGTTAATTGTAATGAAATCTGGGACAAATAACAGGTGCTTTCATTGGTAATCATTGTTGCTAATATTTTTCGTGGTTTAATTTTTGTTTGTTTTCAGCGAAGGCATGTCGAGTCAACGCAGTGCTGTGACTTTTTCATGTTCTCGGCGGAATCGTCAGGAGGAGGCTCTTGTCAGACGTCGGAATGCAGAGGCAGATCATCAGCAACTGTGGGATGGAATTACTCAGTACTTTCACACTTGGGACATACAGTCCAACAAACACAATGATTGGGCTTCCCCTCGCTACTACAGCCAAAGGTAGTGATACTAATTTGCTTTTGCAGTGCTGGATGATTTTTATACCATGTGATATTCAGAATGTAACACAAGTCGTTTGTTAACATTATGATGGTCTTATTGTATTTAAATACGGATTTTTTCATAGTGCAACAATTGTAAATCATTCATTATTCCTGTTTCCGTTCACGTTTTTGGCGCTTGAAACATGCAGTATGCCCAAAATCCCTGTGAAACACCACACAACATGACACAGGGTGTTAAGAAATAAGATGAGGCCACTTGAATTTTCAAGTATGTTAATAATTCTTGGTTTTGTCGTACAGTATGGAAATGTATAACAAAGCAATGGAAGCACAAAAGAAAGCTCAACGTTTAGAAGAACGTCAACAGAAATTAGCAGCGTTGCTGTACTCTGAAACAAGACAGTATGAAATAGAACTAGCTCGACAGAGGGGCAATCCAAGTATCCATCATCGAATGCCGCTTGAAGAGCTGAAGTCTGTCAATTATGAGTTAAAGCGTCGTGAGGAGGAGAATCAACGCAGAGAAGCAGAACTTAAATTATACCACCAGTGGAGGATGAAGCAGCCTTCCATTACAGAGGTTAGTGTTCGGATGTGCAGTGAAACTCTCTTAATCTGTTATCTGTTAGATGAAAGAACTTAATCTGTAATGGTGATTCAGGGATTTTTTTTTTAGACATATTTGGTCTTATTCCAAAGGAAGATTTTTTTGGTAATTTTGCGTTGCTTATCCTGAAAGTTGTGTAATGCACGTTGCTTGGCAATTTTATATTTGGACTCTTAGTTTCAACATCGCTAAAATAAAACCTTCAGCGTATCCTGATCCAGTTTAATTCAGTTTACCTCAGTGCAGTCTGTTGTAATTCTGTCTTGTGTCTGTCTCAGTATGGAGCTGTTTATTCAAGTAGTGTAACTCTTGATTTTGTTTGTGGCTACTTAAGAATCATTGCCAGTGACTGGCTACATTAACAAATATTTTTTGTGATTTTGCTTCAGTCTCTGAAGCTGTGTGCCGAGATAGAACATAGGTCATGCCATTTCCTCCAAAATCGTAATTGACAGTCATCCCATTTTACTTTGTTAGATGTTTTGTAGCCTCAACAGGTGGTCCACTGTCATAAAATGACTGAATAACTTTGTTTCATTTCAGTCTTTCCGATTGTCAATTTCAAGAAGATTCCTACTAACATTCCTTAACCATTTCTTATTTTTCTCATCTGAGTTGGCCAAAAATGTTTATTAGCATTTAGATCAATGCTAAAAATGCCCTGTCGATATGTTATTTCAAGATGTATTATTGATACGTGTACCTTTAAGTTACAGAGTTAATGTTATTATTTCTTACTATCATTATTGTGTGAAATAACGAATGCTCAGCTTGAACGGAAGCAGCACGGTCATTTTGTACGTGAGGCGTGGGTGAAGCAGACGCAGGAAAAGCAGGTGGAACGCGAGAAAGCGGAGAAGGAGCAGCTAGAGGCAATGAAGGAGCGTGAAGCGATGCAGCTTGCCGAGGAAGAACGTCAGAAGAAGAGCAGGGCCCTTTCCCTTCAGTCACAACTGAAGCAACAAATTGCGGAACTCAGGTGAGCCTCTCACTTCCCAGTTACGGCCTTCACTTGGATTTTTTCAAAGTGGCATTAGTTTGCATTAACAGCATTAATAGATGCAGAATGTTATGTAAGGAAAATAAAAGGGTATTTACTTTGAATGTTTTTCTAATCACTGAAATATACAAATTTTGAAGTATAATTTAGTTAATTTTACATACTGATCTTCACGTTGTGAATGTATCCATATACAATCTGTATGCAAGTGTTTTTCTACAACTTAATCAACTCTTTTCCAGTGATGTAATCTGATGTTACATTGATCAGACACTTTACGTATTTAATCAGTCAGTAAGCTGGTGGTTTGGTCAGTTTTACTCACTGTGTGATATATGTCTCATGTAATAATTCTGTGTGTTCTTCCTGTACTTTTCTGTTTATTTTTGACTTCTCTATTAGTGTAAACTTTTTTTTTTAATTTTCTTGTTTTAGTAATGCCTCTTTGTTATCATAAGTAGCATTCAGAACATCAGCCATGCAGTGGTGCACAAATCTTAGACAAACTGCTGAATTGAATGTTACAGAGATAGAGAAAAGAAAGCGGAGGAACTGCAGAGGGAGGAGTCTGAGGTGATGCAGCGTAGGGCAAAGTTAGAAGACCTCTTGATGGAGAGGAGGTCTTCTGAGGAACGGCGCAAGAAGGCAGAACTTGGGTATGATAAATTAGTGCAATGTTTGATTTTGGCACCCCCTGTTACTTTCCCCTTCCTCTGTGGTCAGTGTTTAATTTCTCCCACCCAGCGCTGATTGTATTTGGGACAGCACGGAATAAAGGTCATTCTTAGCATAATTTTTAACATTAAGATATGGATTCCAAAATTGAGCTGCTGTTTGATGATGGACAATATCAGTGATTGTATCATGCATGTTGTAGATCATTCTTGCAGCGCCAGTACCAGTTGAAACTGCGCCGGCGTGCTAAAGAAGTGCAAGAGAAACTAACAGAAGATTTGCATTTGCTAGAGAAACTTATGTCTATGGAAATGGAGGAGAACAGAAGAGCAAGTGAGCAACAGGAAGCTGCACGTAGAGAGATGCTTTGTGCACGTCAGGCTCTAGCAGAGCAGGCACGTGTTGAGAGGGAGCGTGAGAAACATATGGAGTTCCTTTTCAAGTATGGGCCGTTAGAATTAATTTATGTTGCTGTATATTCAATAAAAGTTACAGAAATGTTATGAGTGTTGTTAATATGTTTAGCAAAGTGAACCATTCTTGAGAAATATGATTTGTTATTCCAGAATGTTGAATGCTAATAAATGTTTTTAAAAATGTATCCTTCCTTCTCGTTCTCCTCCTCCTCCTCTTCCTATTCATACAGTGAGGAGGCACAGCGGATGTGGACGCAGCAGGAAGATAAATGGAATCGTGAATGTGAGGCCAGAGAACGGCTGCTAACAGAGGTGCTCGTCACTGTGCAGCACCAACTGGAGGAGAGACTTGAGGCGAACCTTGCTGAGCAGCGGGATCTAGTCAGGAGCAGAGAGGAACTTGTTGCCCACATTGAGCAAGTGAATGCAGAGCTGAAGGAGCAGCGGGCAGCTCTTAACAAAATGAAGGAAGAACGCAGGAAGGAGATTGATATACAGGTACATTCCTAGTTGTGTTGGTAGCCCTTTTAATGGTGCAAGTGAAATATTTGGTCTGCACCAAGTGGTTTGGGCTAAATGGTGATATGTGTGACGTGCATTATTCAAATATCGGCCTCAGATTGGCTATCCTAATCAAGGTTCTGTAGGTATTGTCAGTTCCTCCAAGAAAATAATGTGCCACAACTGATCTGTCATTGTCAGCTCATGTTTACCCTTGTTTTATGTTTGTTGTGCGCAAGTCAAATTTTATGTCTGGTGAGAAGTGCTCGCGCAGTTTTCACATTCTGTCTCTCAAAGTCAGGATAGATGTATCGCTTTGGGTAATGTCCAGGTTGTTTATTTATGAGTTGAATTATTCTTATTCTTCCTCTTCAGACCTGTTCCATCCAAACATATTCTTAATATGAATACTGAATCTATAAATGTTTAAAATTCTTGCATTATTTGTGTTATTTGTCCTGTTTGTGCAGGTTTCTGACAAACAGCAGCGACAGATGGCCGAAGCGCGGATTGCCGAGTTGGAAGCAGAGAAGCAGAAAGTACAAGAAAAACTGGAGGAACAGAAACTTTTGCAGGAACTAAGAAAGATGGAGACGACTGGTTACAACCCAGTGGTGAGTGCGTTTGTCATATTGAAACTGAGTGAAATGTTGGTTCAGGATAGAGGTACGATGTAGTCGTTCTCAGTTGAATAACATACATGTAAAGGTGTTTACATAGTTTTTAATACTTATGTGTATCAGGCTGGGACCAACGTGCTGCATGGTCTGGGTAGTTGTAGGTTATGTTTTCTTAGAAGTCTAATGACGATCTTAAACAAGGAAAGAAGATGAAGTTTCAGGAATTAAAACGAGAAGCTGAGAATAGGGAAAACTGGCAAACTCTTTTTGGGCATTTTGGGCAGAAGAATGGACCTGTCGTCAGACAGAACACTAAATAATAATAATAATAGAAGTCTAATATACAGCCGTAAGACAGCTTTACTCATTATCATTTCTGTTTTGTAATACCTGTGGCAAGTCTCAGCCAGGCAAAAATCCTTTGCTTTACCATGAGTTTTTTCCAATTTAGTGCACTAACCATAAGTGTTAAGGGAAAGAAGCAAGCAACAAGGGGAACAGCTATCACATTTAGTGAGCAGGGCTGTTGATAATCTGGAAAGCACATGCATTAGGATTTGAAACAAATTTAAATAAATTATTAAATACTTTTCACTGTTACCTTACAGAGGAAGTTTAATTACATTACACTCTAATGTTGGAAGAAATGTATGGAAAATTGACTTAATATAAGTGTTAAAACTTTGCATACCGTGTAGTGTATTAGAATATAAAATAAGTAAACAAACAACTATTAACACTATAAAAAAGACACTATTGCCTTACGCCTTTCAACCTCAAGAGGTTATCATCAGTGGCATCAAGGAATTTAATTCATTTAATCTAGATTTAAACTGGGTTTAGAAAGTAAATATATTTTGTTTGTTTATTTTATATTTTAATATAAGTGACCTATAACGCAACATATCTGTTCCTAATGCTGGATGCATCGTAGCAAGGATGCTGACAAAAATGGTGGCATTGTTTCATCATGTAATTCTTTACTATTTGCTTTTCAGAATGTTGCTCGAAGAAGAATGTTTTGGTGATATTTATGAAGAGATAAACAGTTAATAGATTTTTCATCATGGAAGAAGAAACCTGTTTGGTAAATATCTGTTTTAAATAGATGAAAGGGGAAATATCTAAATATGTACAGTGTAAGAATAAATGTAATATTGTTTGTTTGTTTGTGGTCAGTCTTTCGACTGGTTTGACGCGGTCCTCCGTTTTTGCGCCAATCTCTTCATTTCCATGTATTTTTTGCAGCGCACATCCTCAATAATCTGCGTCACATTCCAATCTTTGTCTCCCCCTTCCATTACCAAATTAACCAATCCTGGGTGCCACAGAAAGTGCCCCACCGTCCTCTCTCTTCTTCTCGTAAGATTTTCTTCCTTCGCCTGTCCTGTCCAAGACCAGATATTTCACCCATAAAATGAATGACAGTCGTACTGTCCTGCAGTACGTTGGTTCAAACACTGATAAGTTCTGACGTCTCTTATTGCATAATCGAATGTGCGTTTGACCGATTGCTTCAGGCAGAAGAAAATTTCTAGCTGCTTTTAATTTGCTTAGTATGTGTGCAATTCCATTAGAAATTCTTTCTTCAATTTGGTTGAAAAATGGGGATTGTTATTTGCTGGGAACATTTAAAACTGACGTCATCTGTGTTTTAAATAATTAAAACTGCACCCGGGCGCTTAAATGTGAATTATTTTAAATCCACGGTTTTATGTGTTTTAATATAACAATAATGGGACTTAATGCGTCGATTCCTTCAATTTACAGGTTTCGTATCTGTTAATTTATGATAATTTGTGATTGCTGTATCAGTTTATAAAGACTGTTGGTACGTTTCATTGTGTAGTGTACTTTACCATATGAAAGTTGTCTTTTTTAAAGATGATTTGTTTATTATCTGGATATTTCTAATTAAGATTATAAACCGTTATTACTATTTTATTACGTTTCCTTATTTTTGTCTCTTGAACTCTTGTGTGATATGTAATTTCATTACTTAAGAATAATTAATCGAAAGAATGGAGACTGCAGATGTTTTTCATGTGAGGTGTGTGAATGGTGAAGAAGAAAGAAAGATGTCTGTATTTCAGCTGTCCTCTTCTTTTCAAATACTTTGACACTGACATCACCGCAGCTTCCATTCTGATGATCTGTCCTCTCTTTCTGTTCCCAGAGACTTTCCTTACTCCTCCACACCTTGAAGGCCACAGACAACGCAGAAGGTAAGAGACTGTCGCTTAAGCTGTTAACGTTTAACAGAGATGATTGTCGTGCGATGTGTGAGGATGATTCAGTTCGAAGCACCACGTGATGACGTGGTCTGTCCGTCGGCACAGTAGATCGGGTTTGTAGTCGTGCAAGGCGTTGATTTGCGACATTAGCTGCGCGACTTACGGGGATTATAGATATTTCTAAACAGATGCTGCATTCAGTAGTATTTTGAATTTGTGGATTATCAGCCAGCTGCGCTGTGGGAATTCATATGTTTCCAAATGACTGTCCTGATATTTGCTGTTGTGAACCACAAGTATCTGCTCTCAAATGGACTTCTATTTGAAGATTTCTGTCTTCTGGGTTGTCGCGCCATGTAGTCTGGTCGATGTTAACCAACGTTTCAGAGGTCATACTGCCTCCGTCATCAGGGCAACAACCCAGAAGACAGAAATTTTCAGACTCACCGCTGTGAAAACCTCAAATCTTACGGATTTCTATTTAATCTTCATTTTGTATATCTTTTATATGGCCTTTATTTTTAAGCGAGATGTTTTGTAATTATTTATTACTTTGCATGTTGTG